AGCACATGGGCCCGCGGGCCCGGCAGCTCTGGGCGGCCGGGACGCGGAGGAGCAGCGAGGAGCCGGGAGCAGAGATGGGCCCCGACACCCCTGGGCACCCGTTGAGTGGATTTCCGCGCGGGACGGATGTTGGCGTACCCGGTGACCTGCGGAGACCCGGCTGGATCCAGCCTCCAGTAAGTTCTAATTCTGTCCTGTGCGTTTCTGGAAACTCGCGAGCCCTGGCCTTGCGGATAGGGATGGGCAGTGAGTAGTCCGATGGAGGAAAGGGGCTTTCGGATTCGGAGGTGTGTGTGGTAACCGTGCACTTTCCTCATCACCAGACTTGAGGCTGGCAGCGACTTCGGGCTTTCAGGGATGGGGGAGGGGAGGGCCAGAGAAAGGGGGGGACCCGGAATGGCCCGTGCATAGAGGTAATTCTGGATGAGTGTACTTGATCAAAGGCATGTTACCTAATCTCTAAAAATAGACCCTTCTCCAATCCGCACAGATTTGGGGCCACCCGTGTGGTTTGGAGGCCCCCTTTTGCGAAACTAGAAGTCTGCAGACGTGGGATGCTCCCTCCATCCTTGGACCGCCCCTCCCCCCTCCTCGTCTCGCCGTCCTCCCCCACCCCAAGCCCTGGGTGAAGGTGGTTTCTGAAAACTCATTAACTCTGTGTTTGGAAACTTATTCTGCTTTTGTATGGCATTGATAGGTTTGCCAGGCGCCCCCACACCCTCCTCATGGTAGTTTTTTTCGGATGGTTTGTTGATGGAATTAGGTTTGCCTTCCCTTAGCTAATGTGCTTTTATTTATGCCAGGGTTTGTGGTCTGGGTGTAGACTTTCAGGAAGCGCAGCCATGGAGCAGCATGTGTCCGTGTGGATACATCATGAATTTTCCTGATAGTTTGCAGGAGTGGAAGAGTCTGTGCATTTAAGCCCGGAACGGCAGGCCTTTCTGGAAGATTAGAGGACAAATCTCTTGTGAGGGTTTAGGGGGAGAAGTGAGATTTTGGCGTTTCTTTCCTGGCCTTATGTTTTCCAGAGAGAGGCCAGCAGCTCCTGGTCCACTCCACCACCATGGGTCGTGGCTGCAGGAACTATTTGCTCCAGGAGGAAAGCATGGGGAAGCGTGCTTGTGCGTGATGGGTGGGCCTGGAGCTGGGACCTGGGGCTGTGTCTGCGGTGATGTCTGTTATAGGATGTTGCAGGCCTATTTTGCATACTGGCTGCGACAAGTTGAGGCTTGTTCACTTGACACAGTCCTGTGGTCATAGCGAATCTTTCTGAAGTCTCACCAGTGGAGAAGGGGGTTGCATCAACCCTCGGAAGCCTGAGTGGAACTTCTTGAAAGATTTATTAGGAGAAAAGCCTTTACGAAGCAGCAGAAGGACAAACATAGAACCTATGGCTTAGAAAAACCTCTGTGGTCTGGACTCCACTGTGGGAGATGAGTTCCGGGATGAAGGTGAGGACCTGCCTCGTGGTCTTAGGCCTTGGAAGAGAAAGGGCCCTCCTGGAATCCACCCAGGGCTCTGGTGATGGGTAGGCCGGGCAGGGCCCTCATGGGTTCCTTGTGGGTCCCTGTGGGTCCCTGTGGGTCCCTGTGGGCCACGTGCTATAGCCCTAGAACTCCCAGGGGCAGTTCGTTGTGTGGTTATGTTGTTGTTTTGCCTGGTTTAGGGCGGGTGCTGCTTCTCATTGCTTTGCCTACCTCGAGTGCAGAATTTTGCATAAACCAGTTTCTCTTGAGAAGTAGAAGAAATCCCTTTCTTTTGCTGCTTGATTTTCCTTTTGCTCTTTCTTACACATCCCCCTCCCGCCATGCTGCTTCTGTGACTGGAGCTTTTCTGGGCTGGGAAGAGGGAGTTCTCTGGGTTCGGAAATAACTGACCTCCGTTGTGCGATGACCGCAGCCCTGGTGAATCCTCACGACCCACGTGGAGCCATCCCCAGGCAGACTGGCTGGCTCTGGAGCCCGTGTTCGCCATGTTGGGGGCCTTCCGCTGGGCCACGAGGGACACCCAGGAGAGCTCAGCTAAGGAGTCTCCTGGGCGACAAGACACCCTTCCTTTCTTCCTCTTTGTGTGTGTGTCCCCGAATCAGCTAGACTAATGGCAGACTGACCTCTTTGTGTGAGTTTCCTCAAATCTGGCCGGACCAATGGCGGGTCGACCTTTTCCCAGAGACGCTGAGGACCTTGGAGAGTAGCTGTCTGTGCTTTTTGGGCAGGTGTCTGGCAGCCTGCTAATGGTTATACCTGGTTTCATGTGGCAGATGGCATGTGTGGATGCCTGGGCTTTCTCGTGTGCATTTTCTTTTATTATTTTTTTAAGAGGGATTTATTTTTATTTTTAAATTTGACCAGAGAAAGACAGAGAGAGGGAAAGTGAGAAGGCAAGTCATCAGGTCCAGGACTTAATCAAGGTCAGCCATGTGGGAGTCTAACGCCCCAACCGTCAAGTCACCTGCCAGCCCTCAGTGTGCATTTTCTTAAATTGTTGGTGGTAGATAATGACATTTTACATCTTTTTATTATTTTTTCCCTCATTGCTAATTTGTGATCTCTCTAAGACCCCGGGGCCCTTTTTGTTCCAGCATGAAGGTGAAGACCCACCTTGTGGTCTCAGACCTTGGTTCCTGTACCCTTTATGTGCGCAGTGTCCGTAGTGGGACTCTGACCCAGGATGGAAGCAGAGCAGCCGTTGGCAGTATGTTTGACCATTGCTGATGCTGCTGACAGTTCTTCCGTATCTTCCTAGAAGATGGCAGAAACTCTAGGCCCGACAGGATCATGCTGCCAACATGGATCCTTCAGTGGGCGGAGCCTGCTTCAGCTTCTTCTCTTCTTCTGGCCCCAAGTAATCTAGGGAACTAATAACAGTAATAATGATAATTAGTAATAATAACAAATAACTGCATGTCATAAAGTTGAAATGGTTTATCATGCTGAGTGTGTTCTTCACAGTTAGGCTCCCTGTAGCCCCACGAGGCACCTAAAATATCCAGCCATGATGGAGTTCGTGTCGTGGTCTAGGCTTGGTTCTAAATACTTGACATAGATCATTTTCATTTGTTCTTCTTATATTCCATAAGATAGGAGTATTACTATTATTATTTTCCAATGAGGAGCTCCTAGCTCAAAGATTTAAAATATCACCCCAGGTCACACAGAGACTTGGACCAAGGCTGTTGGACACTGTCCCTCTCCCCGGAAGTTGGCAGACAGTGAATTTAAGAACAAGAAAGGGTGCTTGCTCCTTGCCTGGAGCAGGAGGCTAGTGTCACCCCACCCTTCCAGCTCACTTTAGGAGCAAGGAGAACCCTGGGCATCGTGCACAAGGGCGCCCATTGCTCTGGCTGTCGGCCTTTGCTGCCCTTGCAGAGCAGACCACAAAGCAGGGGGGCTAAAAGGCCCTGGGGGAGGGCTGGAGTGCTGGAAAGATTCTGGGCTGGGGATTGGGAAAGGGATTGGGAAAGGCTGGGGCCCTGGGCAGGAGCCTTGTGTAACAGTCCAAAGCCTCAGCATTGCTGCAGAATCTGTGATCATTTGCAGAAGGTGATACCCAGGTATCCCGCTTGGCTCTGTGACCCAGACCACTCCAAGACTGTATCCAGGATCTTGCTATCAGCGTTTCCGGGGCATGGGGGATAGCACCCTTCTCAAGAGAACACTGCTACCCCCGCCCCAGCTGCTCTGAGGCCCACCTCTATCCTGACCATGTGTAGGTCTATAGAGACCCTGTGCATCACAGAGATTGTGGTGGCCCCCTACCAACCCTGTCATTAAAGATAAAAACATTGGGTCATAAAACACAGGACTTAGATGATGCCGAAACGGTCTTCTTTTTTCTTAATTGCCCAAGTGCAGGCACATGTGTTCGCCAGAGAAAGCAGAGACAGGAAGGGAAGGGAGAAAGAAAGCACTCCCTGGTGGGGCGTGGTCATGCTGCAATCCCTTCTTCACGTCTCTATCCTGTTGGGATTTGGGACATACACGTGCACATGCCTGGCGTGTTTTTCAAGCTACTGGGTCTGAGATTCACACTGTGGTCGGCCATGTGGGATCTGAATCCTTTAAGCACTAGGCCACAGGACTGGCCCTTTCCTTCACGTTTACATTCCGGACTTCTGAACTGTCTTTCATTCTCTTTTTCCTCTTCTTTTATCTGTTTACAGGGGTGGTAGACTATGGGATGTTGTTTACCTGCCTCTTTTCCATTGCTGACTGTACATTTCTTGAAAGCAGGTTGTCTGCTGCCTCATCCCTGTCTGAATGAAATGGCTGTGGAGAACAGCTTTGGTTTCAAGAAAGCAAGTAGCTCAGCCTACAGTCCGTGCCATTTTTGATGCTCGACGTGGCAGGAAATTGGGGACTTGCCTGTAGGGGAAGGACCCTAAAAAATGAGTAGGGAAAGGACACTAAAAAATGAGAAGGAAACCAGAGGACAGAGAGAGGAATCTGGGGACATCTAAGAGAGCTGGGCAGTGTAGATCTGGGTTACTTTTGGGTGAGTTACTTCCTTCTCTAAGCCTCAGTGTCCTTGCCCGTAAAATGGAAATATAAAGCACCAACCTCACAGATAGCTTGAGGAGGAAATAGGCGGTAAGCAGAAGGTGTTTGGCAGACAGCTTGGGCTCATGTAAGCACTTAGTAAAAGTTGGCTAATATCATTACTGTTACAATTATTGGGTTCCATTACTTCCTGTGGCTGCATCGAGTAGTGGTTTCTGAATACATATTCAAGTGTAAAGCAACATTCCGGTTACATAGTTCATAAAATGGCAGTGACTGCAGTACAACTCTTTGCAGGCATCAGAGAGAAACCCTGGCTGATAGAAGGCAGAAGAAGATAAGAAAGCAAGTAAGCTGCAGAAGTGGGTCTCAGAAAAGACAGGAATCAGAAGGGAGGCTCCTCCGATGTCAGACGGCCTTTGCGAGTCACTCTAGCTCTCTCTTCCTCCATTTCCTCCGCTGCCTAGCAGGGGAGGGAACAGGTTCTCCTCCCAGGGATGGGGCAGCACTTAGCACAGAGGAAGTCCTTGAGTAAGACATGAAAGCAGCTGTCGTCACAGGTATTTATTCTTCTTCAGGACTGTTTTCCTGGTGAGTTAGCTCTAACTTTAGCTCTGTGGTTCCTGGCGGATGGACTCATTCTTGTACTGAGCAGTTGCCATGTGCTGTGCATTGTT